AACAACAACATGTAACCGCGTTTGAATCATTTGCGCTTATATTCGATTAAGTAACACAGGAAAATCTCGATTTGTTTTTGTTTTAAGTTAAAAGATGTTTTTATTATATATGATATATACAAACATTATAATTATGTAATCAAAAATCAAATGTAAGAAAATATTTGTTAAGTATACAAATTTATACATGTACATACATGCATGCATTATGGGACCAGACAATTAAATTTGATTTATTAATACAAACTTATAAACGAAAGAGTTTTTACTTGAAACTAAAATAAGACATAAATAACGAAATTGTTGTTGTGGTGTACATAGATACTGTGAGCTATATCACATACACACAGAACAGCGAACAATCGATTTCAAAAAAGCTTATACACCAAAGCGTTCAAAGAGTTTAGACACTTATTAAGATATGTACATATATACAAAAACAAAGTTATTTAGTTAAATAACATTAAATATACAGGTATAAAATAAATAATGATGCACTTGAACATCAAACTAAGTAACATGTAAATAAATCAGCTTTTTGCTGTTTAAAATTTACCTTTTTGAGGTTATGTGTCTTTTATAATTCATACATAATACAAACGTTAACTAACACAGTTAGCCATATATTTTTCTGTGCCAAAAAATGCAGTTTCGGTTAACGCGGAGTGCCGTAATAACACACAAAAAGTGTCTTTTTTATTAATAAAAATAATTATTGATAGCATAAAATCAATACGATAATATACTTGAAAGAATTTTTCCTCTACAAACGTAATTATTTATGGTTCAATTCTTTTTCTTTACATATTGACAAAGTTTCGAAAATATGATTTTTGATTATAAAAATTCAACACTTATAAGAATATCTCAAGCAACAATTTACTTTGCTAAAAACATTATACTAAACAAACGCTTGTTGATTGCAATGACGCATATGCCACTTCAGTTGTGGTTCTGAATGTTTCACATTGTAAATTTGACACACTTAAAAAACATCAACATCACTTAGAGCCGCTATATGTAAATATATGTATAGATAAAACTTCAAAATAGAGAGTTTAATGTACAAAATATTCAACCTCTTCATAGCTGTAAAATGTATTTGCTTAAAAATATGACTCCTATTCGAGTTGCCCATAGGGCTAGTGTTAAGATTGTAATGATTTTCAGAAACTTTTTTTAATTACCATCAACCGAAATATTGTCCAGACCAATAAGTACTTCATCTGGTAAAGGTTCATTACTGTTTAGCTGATTCGAGCATACGCCATCATTGCTTGCTGCATCACTCGCACTCGCTGTGACGTCATTGCTGTCATCGCCTGCCACTGCACCGTCTGTGATTTTGCTATTAGCGCGCAGTTCCTGCTCCTTTTCCTTTTCCAATTGCAAAACGTTTGGGTCCTGTGAGGGACACTCCAAGTGCACGCAATGAAAAATCTAAAAATTACAAGTTATCGAATAAATCATTGTTGTAAGCAAACGTGTCTTTGTTTCAAATTCTCACCTCATTTGCTGTGTTGCGTGTGCCCACAATACGTATAAATACTATTGGTCGTGGTGTGAATGAGAAATTTTGCCAAGAGCGCACTTGTTCATTACGCTTATCGACGATCATGTGCCAATCTTTTTGATTAACTGAAGTTTCAATGTAAAAACTATACGTGCGATCGTCGCAATCCCATAGTAATAAGCGCATTGAACCAATTATGTAAGGCTGACCTATATATAGTAAATGCAAAATATTCAGTAAAAATTTTTTTTCCGCTGTAAGCTTTTACCTAATCTAACCACAATCTCGCCACTGCCTAGCTGATGGCATGTATAACCGGAATCCCAGTCGTAGTTTACATAATCACCATTCAAGAGTGCATTACGCGTACGACTCACACCATCCACAACAATAGCGCTCACATCGGTACGCGCAACATTTGCAGTTGGCGCCACAATGCCGTTAATTACTTTTGGTAAGGAAGCAGTATACATGGCTTCCAGTCCAACCACATGAAATACCTAGAATTGTTAGAAAAAAAATATTACTAAAATCACGTAAACATAGCTAAAATTTCTACTACGCACTTTATTAACGGTATTGTGGGTGCCCACGAGTTTAATGTAGCGTACCGGACGGGCGGAGAAATACAAAAATTGCCATGACCGACAATAATACTGTGAGTAATCTATAACGCGATCCCAGTTGGTAGAGTTTGCCGACACTTCTATGTAATATGAATACGAGCGATTATCCCGATCCCATAGTAGCAGCTTGATATGATTGATAATACATATTGTGCCCAATTCCACAGTAATGCCACCTTCAATATTGTCACCAATGCAATGACGAGTGTAGCCTTTTTCCATATCATATGAAGTGAAATCACCATCCAACAAAGCCGCTCGACATTCACCCAGTGTGGTTCTGGAGTGGAATTTCGATGTGGCTACATTCTCTTCAGGCCAAAGTGCGGCACGATATGGTAAATATTTAGAAGTAGTTTGCTCTTGTATAGCATCTAGTAATTTGTCAGCATCCAAAATTCCCGATGGACGCACGACTTGCAACAAATCTTCAAGTTTCATCAATGGCAAGCGGACGTACGAAACTACAGACTGTAAAGTTATATTCATATATAAATATATAGATATATATATAATTGATATAGGTTCATCATACGTCAATATTGATATTTGTGTGGTTTTTACACCATTCCCATACGGCCAAAAAAATATCCACTTCAGGCGCAAAAAATGAGTCTCGGCGTAATACCTCTTTTAGCGATTCCTTTAAGACAACAATAAGTTAAGTTAAATTTAATTTCATTTATCTACTGTATTTACAAACCATTGATAGCGCTCTGAATGACTCGTGTTGTAATAAGACTGTCGCATTGCGATCCATGAATGTTAAACACACCTCAGTTAACTTATCTAAATTGTACAAACGCGCGGCATCCAAAATTGCGCAAACGTTATTAAGCGCCAAATATTGTCGCAGATATTGTGAAATGGCATGCTCCAATTCGCTGAAACCATATTGATTAGCCAAACCTAATGTGTCCAGTATATTGTCCTCATCCATCTGTGCGAGTGGCATATGACCGGAGTAAATATATTTTAGCAAAGCCTTGAAGGCTTCAACTGGAATTTGCATTTCAATTTCGCTCTGTCTGGACTCACACAGTCCGCCAAACAGTAGGGCACGAAAATATTCACTACGTGCTGCCAAAATAACTCGATGAGCCGGTAGACGTTGATTTTCTACGATAAAAGTCACATCCGAATAATCGTCGTTCATACAAAGTTGCGCCATCTGTTCCGAGAAACGTTCTAGAATTATAAACGAAATATGTTTTAATTCTTAACATAAAAGAAAGAACACGTTTAATGGATATGGGCAGTAGGCATACCTGTTAATTTTACATCGTCGCTCCGTGTCTTTGTCAAAGATAGCAATTTATATTGACTCTGGCTGCTCATCTTATGAAATTTCGTTTAATAAATACAGCACTTAAAATAAATGTGTTTAAATAAAATGCAAATGAGAACAGTGACAGTACAAATATGTAACGAATTGATACTAGGTAAACACAGAAAAACTTCTAGATATTTTTTCACATAAGGCGCACGATATGCTTTTTACATATTTTAAACTGACGAATATTTGTTAAACAGTTAATATAATAAATATATATTGTCTAAAGCAATCACTTACGCCGTTGTTATCAAATATTTATAGAATTTCAAAATGTTTTCCGGCAGCGACGCAATTGTTCGACTTTTTATTTTGTATATTTTCTTTTGTATCGCTTCTTCTAATATGTACATAGGAAAGTTGCCAGACGGAGATATCCTGGTTTGTGCAAACATCAATCAAATTTAATGGAATTACTGAACTGACAATTTAAAAAAGCCTGATAATATTAAAGTAACATATAATTTAGTCATGATCAGCTATTCGGGTTTACTTTAAATGTGTAAATCTAAGAGAATATTTTGGTAAAATTTTTTTATATTTTATTTTATAAATACATATACTCCAATTAAATTTTCTTAATAACATTTACTAATAGACGTGTTTTATTTGACCGTCATAAGCTAAATCTGTGACAAATAAAACATACTTAGCTAGTTTAATGTTTTCGCTTAAAAACGAACTGTGTTGACAATGCAAGATGGACAAGAACAGTCAGCCGATATTCAATTTATTTCCAAATATCCCAAATGGAGAAAGTATTAGTTTTATTATGAAAATTTGTATCTGGAATTATAATATATTACACAAATATATTAATTTTGTTCATTTGACATTTTTCTGAAATGAAAAAATACGATCAACTGGCAATGCCTCTAGTTTAATGTACAAGCAATGATATATTTTGACAAACGAATGTATACGTTAGCTAAGTTTTCCATGCAAAATAAACTAATAGTTTTACGTGATGGACAAATAAAACACGCCTAATAACTCTAAAACTATTTTTATACATGCCCGCGAAAAAGTATGTTAAAAGAAATTCTTAATGCACATTTGAAATTGTAAAATATTCTTGTCTAAATTAACAGGCTTAATTAGGTAACATCGAATATTTACTTCTATCGAAATCGAATATATTAAATTAAATAAATATACGTGTATTAAAATAAATAAGTCTTGTTTTAATCGTATCGAGATTACAACATCGTTATCTCGTATTCTAAGCCAAATTAGATTTCCTACATCTCTATTTTTAGTCAAACCTGTTTCTAATATTTTATATAATATTTGTATATGTTCTAATATCGTTAATAATTTTTCAAATATGGAGCTTATATTCTAGATGGTTGTGTACTCAAATGAGTGTGGATTCAGTCAATTTACATATTTTAGTTTATATTCACTATAAACATTATTGACTATATTTATTTTACTACTTCTGTCAGTATTGCTCCACTTTCAAACAAAGGAGAGGAATTTTTGAGGCTTACCACAACGCCAAGTACGGCAACGTTAGGATACACAATACAACTCTGTGAACAGCTGTTTTGGTTTTAGTTTGTTTATATTTACCTTTCAGCTTTTTTCATTAAAACTGCATTATTTATAATAAGTAATAGTTTGTTTGAATTTGTTGATTAAAAAATGCGAAAGCGTGAGCTGCAAAGTATTCCTTTAAAGTTGGGAGAGTTGAAAGAGTATGATATCATACGAAATGAGCGCGCTGCTGCCAGGAACCAAGTACCACACGATGACAGTCAAACTAATGAGCAGCCATCGCCGATTGCCAATGTTGGGCCAAAAACCAAGAAAGAAATACAATCTCGATTAAATGCTACTACTTGATAGCTTTGAGGAACGAGAATGATGTATTTATGTATACATTTTAAGGATTTAATTTTAAGTTGTATGAAAGATTGCAGTATGTAATATATAAAGTTTATTCAATAATATTGTGATATAATTCTTAATATCGTACATAGTTTCTGGTAAGTCATGACAAACTTCAATCTTATTTGTTCGGATAAACTGTAGCTAAAGGGTAATTTAATGAAAAGTAATACTGCCGTTGTATGAGCATTAAACATTACCGAAATAACAAATAATACCATTCCCGCGAATGTTGGTCAACGTACCGGGAACTGACTCTGATTTTTATCCGGCCAAGGACTATCAACTCGGCAGAATTCTGCCGCTCCAACAACAACAGAAATTGATTCGATTGATCGGCCAGTTTGTATGGTACCTATATGCTATAATGCTCTGAACACTTTTCGGAGATTGTACTATATCCCTAGATAATAATCATGCCAAATTTCGTTAAGATTTGTGGACAAATACAACATTTTTTCGTTATCACAAAAACAACAACAACAAATTGTGCTTCATGGAAAGAAAAGGATGTGTGAAAAATTTCAGATCGATATCTCAAAACCTGTGAGACTAGTTCTGGGTGTTACCAACTTAGTGGCAAACTTAATATATCCAGGTCACGGTATACCAATTACACATTTCTACAAACCTTTGCAAAATACATTTGTACGAGGTGTGTTCAAAAAATAACGGCAATTTTAAAATTAAAATTTCGCGGGTTTCGAGAGTCCAATTGTCAATTTTTCTCTTTTATAGTGTTGATATACATACATACAAGCGAAGTGCGAGTGAAGTACGATAAAAATTTCAGCTGTATTCATTGCTTTCTTTGTCTGTTGCATTCGCTAAGATTAGACGTAGTGCATTATATCGAATGAGGAATATTTTGGAGGCGATAACATTAGTATACATTAAATGAATCACATTTGAATGAATAATTTTTTTTTTTTAAACAGAATTTCCCGTTAATTACACCTCGTACATAGGTATGCCTCTAAGCGACTGAGATGAAATCCAGTTGTAATCTCGACATGAAAATTTGTGGTAAGAAACCGTCGCGACATTTCTGTCTGCTCCTCACTTTATGGTTGCTTTATGCAAAACTCGCGCCAACTTAACTGTCAAATTAAATCAAAATGTACGAAACAAGTGCTTACATATGTATGCATGTATATAGATGTATATCTATTTCATATAATCTGCGGAAACACTTACATTGGAAAAGAGGCTGAATCACTCAATAGTATTAATGTGCCGTGTTTGGTAAAGCGAGAGTTTGAAGTACAAACGCCTTGGCGCTCGCTCGCAGTTGAAACAATTACGGACAGTTTCTTAATTGTTACGAAACTAATGAAAATTGATTACAGGCGATGCTCTTGAAGCCAATCGCAATCGGAAGTGTCATTTGAGGGTAGGTTAAGGACAAAAATCAATATGAGTTTCTCTTGATGGGATATAATGTTTATTAAAGAACCATTATTAGATTATGTTTAATTTAATATTTTTACTTTGAACCCAATGGTATGGAAATTTTAGTTGCGTATACACATTAACATGCGTCATATATTGACTCATATACTTGAATTAAAACCTTTATGTCAGTAATTCAGTGCCTAGGATATTCAATTATAGTCCTTGGATTATTGCTTAGAAAATATCGATGTAAACAGGGTTATAGCACCGAAGTATCGGCCCTCCGTGACTTATTTAAGACATATTTTCAGCTGTGCCAGTGACTGTAATTTCTAGGAATTTTTGACATGGTTGTTTTTGTTGCAACTTCAGAAATTGTTTTAGCTGGATAACGACGGCTGGAATCGATGACATGCGTTACGTTTGATAGCCTGTACATCTTCACTCCGCATTATGACCAAAATAACAAGATCTTCAAGTCGCTAGTCAGCAGAGCCTGGGATAAGGACAAAGATACGTTGCTAGTCACTTACAACGCAATCGGCCAGTCATTAATTACACAGCCCCAATATGGTCGTCTGGAGTCAGACCACCGTATTCCGAACTACCATAGGATAGGATTTATTGATGTACCCTGTCGAACACCTCCATAGTGAGACCCACATGCTTGCAGGTGAGGAGCGTAATGTATTCCTCCCTAAGCAGTTTCTGCTAAAATGTTTTCACAGAAGCTTGAAGCGGAACCGCCTCCTAGGAACATCAAGAGATAGGCAGGTGAAATTGGTACCTATACAAACAAAGTATAATATATATATGTCTTGCGTGCAAAGAGTCCCCACCTGACACTAACCACCTCTTTGCATGCTCCACCAAACTCACTTAATCCACCTCTCCTTTTGGTCCGACCCCGTTGCACAATTCACTTTCCGTCACGCGGTGTTCTGGCAAGACCATATTGTTTTTTTATTATCTCAAGCGAGGTAAATATGTATTATACAATATTGGATAATGCTGAATTAATTTTGAAAATTACACTAGTCGAGACAAGAGTAGAACCTCACTAAAACGAAGAGGAAAGCTAAAAAAGTAGTTGGTATAGACTGGTAGTCATATAGCCTAAGAGAGCTTCACGGGATGGTTGAGATCTTCTGACGCTTAAAATATTAATCGGACATTACAGAATTTTCTACGGACTCTACCGGGAAATCACTGAAAAGTATCACATTGACAACACTTGTCTCCGCATGAGTCTCCGAGGAAGCTGTTCTTAACCTAAGCGAACCTATACTAGTTATTTCCATAACCACTTTAATTATTAACTAATCCGAAACTGATTCTGAAGTAAAAAACAAAGATCCTTGCTAGATTGGAAAATGTCTTCAAATATATTTATAACTTGGCAACGAATAAAATAAAGCCTTCGCGTGTCGCATGTGACAAAACCCCCGTCCCTGATTCATCTGCTTGGTCAATTTTATTGACAGCTCAATTAAATTTCGTTTTGACAGACTAAAGGCCAACTATCCATAATTTCCATAAGCGAAATCAGTGATTCCTTCAACACAAACATACAAACAAATATTTTCTGAATGCTAAGAGACTAGTACTGAATTTAAGTGCTTCGTTGTTGCCAGCCAGCCATTATAGGGAGTTGTTAGTGGGTGGTGGACGAGGCTGACGACGATAAAATAACAAGTTTTGAAAAGCCACAAATTGACAAGTGTAATCCATGGAATGTCGTCAACATTTTTGTGCGTACAAAAGGCAATTTTCACAAAATTCACTTCCCTGCGAGCGGTAGACGACGAGCCGAAGAAGTAGTAAGGAAAATTTAGCTGCCAAGGCGCTTCCACAGCTGTAGTCTATTGCTGATGCCATGGCTGAGCACTGAAATTTGAATTACAAGTATAGGTGTGTATGAAATAATGTGTGTATGGATATGTATGTGTGTATGCTGGAATAGCGGTTTGCATGTGCTGCTGTCTGCCCAACCACCAAATCAGATAAAACGTCACTTTTGTGTGTTTAACAGAGCGTGTATACGCTCGTGGTTTCATGAGTACACAAGCTGGCTGCTCGAGCAGTCAAAAGCACAGTCAGGAGCTCGACTTCGCTTGACGTTTTCAATATAAATATTGGTCAGATAAGTACTTAGCCTACAAAAGCGAAAACAAAATTTTGGAAAAATCGCGTTTCAGTACGTTGCCTTATTCAATCAGTTTGTCTTTCTCTCTTTCCCACTCATCCGTTCCTTGACCTCTGGTGTGTACTCGTGGATCCAAGTCACGGAGTCATAAAATAACATTCCATCGGAATGCACTTAAACAGCGTCAAATAATACTGTGATGTGGTCTAACGGTTGCGTTTGTTCTCCGTATTGATCAAACGCGGCATTAATCGTGTTAATAGCTCTCTAATGCTTAGTATTTAATGTAGAGTATGATACATCCGGTCTTTTAGGTTGCCTACTGTCTCAGCTACCTCGCGTAGCTTGAATCTTCGGTCTGCTAATACTAGATCGTGGAATTTGTTTACGAGAATGTGCTTCTGGATAGTAAATTTCTACTGCGATAGTGGAGCCATCTGGCGGCCAGCCTACGTACTTATCCGACCGCCTTCGTATATATACAGATATGGTGCACAATTTTTGTTGGTATGAAATTTCTATGGAGTGTCCGTGCGTAGATTAGGTCAATTGGAACTTTTACACAATCGCAGAAGTCTATAAGCTACACAGGCACATGTCACTACATATACATACCATACATATGTACAAGTATGTATGGCTTGCCGTTAGTTGATATGCATTCTGACCGCCACATTTGGTGCTCATTCATATTGATACTTCCTGCATCTGCCGAACAAATAGAAAGAGTTGCACATTTAGCCACTCGAAGGTCACATACAAACACACATATGAACGTAATTACTTGATCAGCACCAAAAATTTCAATAGAGTTTCTAAGTATTCCGTGGTGGCGTTGACCTGAGCAGTTGTTCACATTAAAGGCGCACTTGAAGCCACGTCTCTCTGGGGACATATTGGCAAGTTAAGTGTTTTATGAACTTACCGAATGGCTAGCGGTATGCGCTTCAACGTTTTGCGTGTTGCCAGCCAGCATCACTTTGTCAAACTTCACTTGCGTAAGTGATTCTGTGCATGATTTTGTACGTTAGCGCCACCACTGAACTTCTTTCTCATCATTACTGAAGTTTTCATCCTTCCAATTGCAATGCCAACTTACCCCAACAAACTTCTAGTTCACTCCTGGCCTTTACGCACTACAAACATTTCTTAGGTCGACCTCTACGTTGCTGAGTCCTCATTGGCATCCTTCCCTTACTATGTCTTCATTCGCATACACAACCGCACTTATGCAACGTATATTTGCTTCCTGCTGGTCATCGTCATATTGAACTATTTAAGCGTTTAATTTGATTTCGCACAAGTGCGGTTTTTCCTGTTCGCTTTCGACACTTTGTAACTACTTTAGCAGAACAGAACATTTTGCAACTTACCTACAACAGGTAGCAACCCAGCAAGAAATTGTATGCGTAATAAACGCAATTTCTAATGTATTTTATGATCTTTATTAAAAGAAAAATGCTGTTGCTTCCAAAAAATAAATAAATGTGTGTTATTCGGGCTCTGCCAGGTGAAGCAACTATTCGTAAATGTTTCGAATGAATT